ATATTAATGACAGCTCCTTACATGAATTTTACAATGGGCTTTGCCAGAACTTGATATCTAATTAGTCCCTTAATATAAGTACTCTATTCCTACAGTGGGGTCCTGGTGTGGGGCAGTAAGATGCATGATAAATGAATTCATGATTAAAATACTACTTTTGTGAAAATGTTTATAGAAACAGAATAAAGAACCAACCCTGAAATGTCTCTAATCACAACACATTAAAAATTAGACTACAATCAATGTGTTTTCCCAACTCTTTCTAACTTATGTTCGAATTTTGAGTTTACAAATTACTTTGCAATATTTATTCTTCAATAGAATGTCATATAGTAGAAATTATCATCCACAGCTTCAAATGAGAAAACTGAGAAGCTTCTTGGTTTCTCTTTCTTAAATCCACTATACTGAATTACATGCGAAGGTTTGAAAAATGGAAAGCTGCTGTAGTTAAGGTATTTATAAATATAAAAAGCAAATACAAATGGGATCAAATGGCAACAGCAACTTGAAACATTAAACAGTAACCTTTAGAAGGCAAGAAGTTTATGTTAATGAGAGAGAAACAACTCAGATAAAGAGGGTGAGAATTGTAAAATCGTAAAACTCAAAGACTGTAACCAATGTTACTAAATTTTACATGTAGAAATGATTGAATTGTTATATGTTTTGCTATATATATTCTCAAAAACAATATTTAAAAATTTCCAAAGTAAATATAGGGAGAAGAGTACTACTCACTGAAGACTGTCACCTTAGCTTAACATTTCAGTATCGAGCCAGTCTACAACTTGAAATTGCCTTACTTTCTATATCTAGCCAGAAATGCTTAGAAAATTAGAACAAAAATCTAAGCAAAATATAATTAGTTAGGTTACCACACACACTGAAACCCTACTACATATTAGATCAGAGTTGGAGACATCAGAATGGCCTATATATCCATTCATATGGATAGGGCACAGGAACAATGGCAGCCATGACAGATACATGGGTTAGGATACAGACACAGGTTTACCTAGATCGTCCACTGAGAAGACCTAGAAACTATGACAAACGGCAGCAACAAGCATGCCCAATGCTCAGATCTTGGTTTCTAAACACCTTTCTCCAGTAAAAGGAAGCTGGGATAAGGAAAACCTAATCCTGGTGCAAATAAAGTAGTGCTCAAAAAGCAAAAACATGGGGACGTATCAAATGGACACAGGAGCCAACCTGAAAGAGCTTTCAAATGCCAAAGATGGTGTAACTGAAGTTAAGAAAATTAGTAAGGTAGTATTAAAATAAATTCAAAATAAGAAAATAAGTATGCACAACATAATACTGATACAAATATATTAAATAAATGGGAAGAGACAAATTTTTCTTACAAAAGAATTCCAAATTATATATGTAGATACCTGCCCTCTGGAATATAGAACTTGACCCCACCCCTTCCTCACTTTTCCTTTCTTCCTTCCCCCCTCCCCCTTCCCCCATCAGAGTCCTTTTGTCACCATCATCATCGTTGTCATCATAATAAATATATTGTTGGCAGTATCGAAGGGAAATTAAAGTTTTCAGTATTTAAATATTTTATAGCAAAGTACTCATTTATATATTGTGACCATGATGGCGCTATACGTTAAGGACTAGATTGAGAACCACAAGATTCATGGTCTGAGCATGCCAGTCGCTCCAAGAAAGATGAAGCCTTGAACTCCCACTAAAACGTAAAGCCTCAGAAACCCTCTACATGGTCACTATGAGTCAGAACTAGTTCCTGAGGTATCTTTTTTTTTATGCCATGTAAATTAAATCAATAAATGTGTTGTACTGTTGTTGTTGTTGTTGTTGTTGTGTGCTACCAAGTCAACTTCAAGTCATAACAACCTTTTATAGGGTTTTGAGAGTAGCTGGGAGATTTGAACCTCTGACCTTGCATTTAGCAGTCCAGTGCTTAACCTACAGCACCACACCAGGGCTCAAACGTTATATATGAGCAACTTCATAAATGAATTCAATGAATGTGGATAAATGTCTTGTATTTATTGTTATTGTTAAGTGCCATCAAGTCATTTCTGACTCATAGAGACCTCCGTATAGGGTTTCCAAGGACTGGTTGGTGAGCCTGAACCACCAACCTTGCGGATATAGGAGCAACATAAAATTGAGGAATATGAATAAAATAATGTCATCATGAGTAAATTAAAAAAGTGCTTTTCCTAAAGAAGACGATGACCTACCATATATTAGACTAACAGACTCACATCAGAATCACATGCCATCTGGGATTAGTTGTGATAAGTACCGCGACTAAAATGTTTACAGAAGATGCAGAGAGACTTCTTCGGGAGATGAGCATATCTCAGTCATTACAGTTTACTGAAAACATCCTGAGTATGCAAACTATCCATTCTAAGGAACGTCAATTTACCATGTTTTACCAATAAAGAAAAATTAATCCCATTCCCAAAGTGTTAAATTGTTGGCAGCTGGTGAGTGACCAATACGATTCCTTATCGTGAACAAAAATTGTCAAATTCAGGGAAAGGTATGAAATGTGATTTACCACTTGCCTTATATGAATGTCATCATCACTGTCCATGTGAAGCAACCGCCCTTGAAGGCGCCTCTCCTCACTACGAAGCTGTTTTCTCATTTCTGATAACTCCATAATTACATTTTTTTTCTCCTCTTCACAGTCCCATTGATAAATGAAAAGTAAGACAGGTACAAGAACAAACGATTACAGATGAAAATATAACCTGACTTATCTACCCTTAAGCTAAATGGCTCAGAGACATACTTTTCACAAAAGATATTTGTAATGTTTGATATATACACATATACACAAATCAGATTCATGAACATTGCTAAGACCTATAAAAATCTTCCTGATAATAGGAAAAATTTTAAGTTTAAGCTACATACTTGGGGTGGAGTGCAACTATAAACAGGCCACATAATGCAGTTCCTTTGTGGTTACAGAACAGCACTGTATCTTGATCATGGAGGTGGTTACATGAATGACAGACACATGTGATAAAACTGCACAGAACTACATGAGTGTGTGCAAAAACTGGTGAAACTGGATTAAGGTCTGTAAAGAGTGGGCAATGTCAGTTTCCTGGTTCTTATATCTAAGATATACCACTGAGAGAAGCAGAGGGAAGGATATATGGGCCCTCTATGATTTTTCAACTGAGTATCCATACTAAATTTTTATTAAAAGTTTAAATAAAAAAGAGAGAAACATTGTATACTGTAGGTGTAACAATTAACTATACCTTCTGCACGGAGCTGGTTTTTCCTGGCAGGTACCGGTGGAGACTGTGCTCTGGACATGGAACTTTCCTATTTGACAACCATAAAAAGAGATGCTCAGAAAGCTTTCTAGAACATCTAAGTAATTAAATATAAAGGGGAGTCCTGGTGTGGTGTTGCAGGATAAGCACTGGACTGCTAAGCGCAAGGTCAGCAATTCACACCCACTAGCCGCTCCTCAGTAACTCTCTATAGGGTCGCTATGAATTGGAATCAACTTGAAGGCATTTAACAAGTTTAAAAGTAGGATAGTGAGGAGTTCGGATTACTTTACATAGGCTGTTGCTGTTAAATGTCACCGAGTCAGTTCCAACTCATAACAACCCTGTATAGGGTTTCTGAAGAGCAGTTGGTGAGTTTGAACCATTGACCTTGCATTAGTAGTCCAGTGCTTAGCCTGTAGTGGCACACCAGGACTCCACCTTTAAACTTATCTACATCTATCATCTATTCTTCCTTCTTAGCTCAAAGGAGCCCTTGCTCCTATCCACAGAGAATTCCCTTCATCCACACTCTATCTGGTGGATCACTTCCCCTCTCTTTCTTCCAGGCTCTTCCTTTCCTCTAGCACCTTCCTCTCAGTCTATGTTTAAAAATTTCTCTTCTTTAAAACAAAACAAAAAACTCATACCTTCTTCCCCTTCTTTATTCACTATCTACGGTCCATTCTCTTCTTCCCTTCACAACCAAGCTTCCATACAGAGGAGTACAGGCAGCACTCACGCTGTCTACAGCTTTATTCACATTCACTCCTCAGCTTCTGCTCTGTCAGTTCACTAACTCTGCTTTACAAGTGACACATACTGTAACGGGCATTGTTTAGTCTTTATTTTACTTATGTCATTGTCGGTCACCAGCTGTCTCTATTTCCATTCCCTACTTCTTAAATGTTGGTGATTCACCTGTAATTCCATCCTCAGCCCTTTTCACTTCTCCCTTTACATACTTACCCAAGATAACCAACCAACCAGATTTAACAAGCACTGATAATACACTGGTTTGCAATTTCAGAATTCCTGCCTTAGCCACACCCGAATTTCCAACAGCCTACCCCTGTATCCCTCACCAGAAACTTGAAAACTATCACTCACTCCTATCCACCACATCAGTCAATAAATCCCGCTATTAAATATGTCCTGGTATGGCACTATAGGATCAGCATTGGACTTCAAACCACAAGGCTGGCAGGTCAAACCCACCAGTTGCTCCTGGGAAACTCTATATAAGGTTGCTATGAGTCAGAATCAACTCAATGGCACATAACAGCAACAGCAAATAAGTCTTAAAACTTGTCACTTCCTCTTAGCTGTGAGTGACATTTCCTTTGTTAAGAACCTCAGTCTTATTTCTGGGCTTTTGCAAAAGTATGTGTCCATGTTTAGTCTCGTCCAATCTCCTATTTCTATCTCCATACCACTGCCAGACACAAGATCATGACACTAGACACAAGTGGCCATGCCATCCTCCCACTGAAAATGCTGCAGTGCGTTCCACACATCAACTACTACCACCTACCAAATCCAAATCTCAAATACAAGACTCAGGAAGATGCTTATCTAACAAGTTTCTTTGCCTATTCTGGTAACTAGTTTGTTTGGAACCCAATAGGCTACACGGAACCCAATAGGCTACACGGAAAGCTAAACTCCTCAGCACTTCACACAACACCCTGCATGTGTTCTGTCACCTCTTTGTAGCCTCAGTTCACAGACATAATCAGGCCACAAAAAACCATGGGTGCCAGGCTTGTCTATACTTCCCCTTCTGTTTCTTGGCACATGCCCAAAATCCAACACCCTCCTCTTCATGGCAAATTTTAACACACCATTCTTCAAGACTCAATTCAAGGATCAACCTCTCTGAAACACATTCCCTGTTCTTTTCTCTTAATTGTAGATCAGTCTAAAGTTTGCTGTTAAGTGCCGTCGAGTGGGCCTAAAGTATAAAGTATCATTAGTTATAACCCCACCTAGTGAAAATGGATACATCATCAGAGGAAGGGACTTCTTAAGAAAATTTACTAAATCCTGGTTTGTGGGAAGAATTTAAACTTTGGGTCACTAAGTACTAGCAGTTAAAGCTGAAACAGTAAGCAAATTAATAGCAACACTGTGTTGTTACATGGTACAAAACAGGACAATCTCATATCAGAGCTGGAAAAAGTTTAACCTAGCCAAATCTAGGTTAAACAAATGAGCAAAACAATCTCATTCCATCCCACCCAATCCCAAATAACTGAGCTAAGATAAGATCTAAGTTCAACAAATTCAAACAAAATGTATCTACATGAATAAATGAATTTATGATGCTGTCAACTGAAGAAGGTCTTTGCAGTTTGCTTGCGATTTTGTTCTGAAGAGCAGGAACTACAGGAGAAGGCTGTCTCAAGTGCTGGAAAATTTTAAAAATAATAAAATTAAAATACAGACTACAGTATGCACATATATATACATATATATGGATATATGTGTATGTGCAAACACACACAGATACACTAACAACCTATAACAAAAATTTATACAAGACCATCTAAGAAGTTCAGGCTACTAGAATTTTTATTACATATTTTTTTTAAATCAGAACTTCAATAACATAAATTCACATCTACCATAAAACCTACAAAAGCCGGAACCTGTGTAAGGTAGAAACATGTCAAAGAAGCAAACAATTCTGAAAAATAATAAAAATAATATAAATAAGCTTGTAAAACCTAGACGCAGGTGGCCCAGAGCATCTGGCTGGGGCGTTTTCAGGATTACAACTGATTTGTGCCTCCACAGTAAATAACATGGGGTTTCAGCTTACAGTATACACTAAGGCTAACAATACCCAAGGTCACATTAAAATAAAAATGCTGAAAAGATTGAAAATACCCAACACAAAGGAACAATAATGATCTGGGCAAAAACATCCAGGTTAGCGTTTATGGGTATATGTCAGAGCCTTCATTTTGCATGGCAGACAGTCAAGTATTAGTTCCACTACTGACTTTGATAAAATTAGCAACATTTGAATGTTTGTGATACAGACATTACTTAGCCTCCCCCAGACTTAGTAAATTAAATACTTTGTCAGTAAAACCTAGGAATTTGTAGTTTTAATAGACCCTCAATGATACTTATGTACATAAAACTTTTAGTGTAACTATGAGCAAAGGTGTGTCTTCGATCCTGAAAGGCCAATTAGCTTTCTAGAGAAATAAACCTCTAATAGTTTTAATTCATGCACCTGTCCTGGAACATAAGCCCCCTTATTCAAAATATGTATTTCAAACCTGTCTACAGTTATGTTTGAATGAATTACTAGGCAAATTATATAATTTAAAAGGCATATAAAATTCATGCTCAATGTTTTTATTATTAGATTCAAGAGCTATAAAACAAGTATCTAAACACCTAATCAACTTAATTTTTTTTAATGTTTTATTGTGAATTATGTGATAGTTTACATGACAGAACATTAGTTTTACATTCTGTAT